TATCTGCAAGTGTGGGTGTTCTTATGCATATTCCCTCTCTTCTTATCAGCTGGACACTTCACTTTCCACTCTAGTCCTCTGTGGCTATGTCACTTACTCTTAGTAAGCACTTAGTCCCAGGAGACTCCAGGTCTTACCATACAGCTGGCCAGCAAGGTCTCTATCCGGGTTCACAAACGTATCGAACCTTGTAGGACTTAGCTCGTAGCTTCATTGCTGTTTATCCCTCACTTCCCCTTATCAGTGAAATGGTCACCAGTCAGAGCACATGTCTGCTCCTCTATTCCCATTGCGTCTTAGTCTTGGAAGGGGGTTTGCCCCAAGGGGATCCGACAACTTGCCTTGATGTCTCCTGGGCAGAAAGGTCTGTACACTTCTGAAGGTGGTTTTTTTCATTTCTTTAACCCTTCCCCAGAGAATTCTGCCTTCCTTGATTTATACCACATGTAAATGAATTTGGGAATCCTGGTGTGGCGCAGTGGGCTAATGCATCAGACTGCAAAGTCGTTTGAACTGCAACATCAGTGGGTCAAGTTCACCACCTGCTCCTTGGAAACCCTATAAAGGGTTGCTGTGGGTCAGAATTGACTCGATGGCACTTAAGAACAACAACAGAATGAATTTTGACATTGTCACAGGCCTGAAATCATGTTCCTTTTCAATGTTTTTGTGTTTGGGGAACATAAAGAAGTCTGAAGGGGCAGCGTCGGAGCTGTTGGGTGGATGGTGTAAATGTTTCCCAAGGAAACTTTTGTAGCACTGCCCTTGCTGCCCTTGAAAAATGAGCAGGTACATTGTCTTGATGAAAAAAATATTTCTCAGCTCAACTTTCTTGGCTGACTTTTGTCTCATCAATGCAGTTTTCCTTTTTCTGCAAATTTCCTCAGCAGATCCTCTGGAAAGCCACTGTTTGATTGAGCCTTTGTTTTTGAAAGCACTCTAATAAGACTAAGACAAGTGCGCTACTGAGAGAACTTGTCTATAGCCATCCACTGATTGCAGAGACATGTTTAAACATGTTTTGTTTAGAATAAACAGTGCACGTATGAACTGGAACAGTAGTGGAAATACTTTTTGACTTATCCTTGTATGTAGGTTGTTGTTGTTGTTATGTGCCGTGGAGTCGGTTCCGACTCATAGCGACCCTGCACAGGGTTTCCGAGGCTGTTAATCTTTACGGGAGCAGAACACCTCATCTTTCTTCCGCGGAACCGCTGGTAGTTTCGAACTGCTGACCTTACGGTTCGCAGCCCGATACATAACCACTACGCTACCAGAGCTCCTTACTATAAAAGAAAATAAAAGGAATATATCTTCATAATTGGTAGATAGAAAAAGAGTCATTAAATAGGATGAATGCCCCCCACCCAAATATTGTATTGCCAAATAGGGCACATGAAATCAGGAAATTTTATAATTATAGATACCAAATAAGAGAGTAAAAGCTAAGCTACGGAGTGAGGAAGAGATTTGTAGTACATTATCTCACATGGACTCATATTCAGAATATATAAGGAACTGTCATAAATCCACAATAAAAATGTAGTCAACCCAATAGAAAAACGGGCAAAAGAGTTGGATAGGTACTTTACAAAAGAGAAAAGCCAGAAGCAAATGAACATGTAAACTATCCAACTTCATGGGAATCAACAGGGAGATGCAAATTTAAAGTCACAGTAAAACCCCTCCCCTTCATACTCACTAGAATAATTGAAATGAGAAAGACAGTACCAAGTATTGGTGAGACTATACAGTCACTGCTGTGTGGGGAGTGTAAATTGGTAAGGCGGCTCCAGAGTGTTTAGCATTATCTACTAATGTTGCCAAAAGTATAACATTTGACCTAGAAGTTCTGCTTACAGCTGTATATTCAGCAGAAATGAATTTGCACAAACACCAAGAGACACATTTGTTGTTGTTAAGTGCCGTTGAGTTGGTTCCGACCCATAGTGACCCTGTATAGGGTTTCCGGGTAGCAGCTGGTGAGCTTAAACCGCTGACCTTCTGGTTCAAACCGACTTGCAGTCCAGAGCATTAATCCACAGCTTCACAGCAGGACTCCAAGAGACACATACACAAATAGATTTTATAGCAGTATTTGTAATAGCTTCAAACTAGAAATTGTCCAGTGTGTTCCGTTTTTAACCAGTGGAATGGATGAATTGTGGCACGTTTATACTGTTGAATACAAATTAGCAAATGAGATTAGTGGAAGATAACTATACAACAGCACAGGATGAATCTTGCCATCCTAATGTGAAAGAATAAAGTAAGCAAGACACTAAAAAGTGTATATTATATGATTCCATTATATAAAGTTTAGGAATATTCAGAGCCAACCTGCTGTACTAGGTCAGGTAAATGTTTACCCTGAGCCTGGGGGAGGTTGGAAGGAGGAATGAGGGGAGCCATCTAGGATTCTAGCTAAGTTTTATTTATTGACCTGGGAAAATAACAAATGTTCCATATTTGCATTTTTTTTGACATATAAACTACATATTTGGAGCACTGATTATATATGTAGGGGAGATATAAAATCAAATCAATCTGTACCACACATTTTAAAATATTTTCTTTGAAGGTATCTTTTATAACATAACCAAATATAAAGTGCTTAGAAATTAACAAAGGACTTGCAAAACTATTGTATAGAATATTATAAAACTTCACAGTTAGATTTAGGAAGACCTGACTAACTCGAGAGTTGTATAGTAGTAAGAAGAATTACCTTGTTTGTTATGAAATTAGTATCTAAATTCAGTGTACTTTTCCCCAAATGTCCAGTAGTTTTTTTTTTAATGAAACCCGGCATGCTGATTCTATATTTTTATGGAAAATTAAAAAATAAATTTAAAGGAACTTACCTTATGCCATATTTCAAGACTTATTTAAACCCACCATCTGCTCCTTGGAGAGGATGTTGTAAATGGGAACCAACTTGACTGGCACTTGCCACAACATTGTATAGGTAGCTTATTTACTCTAACTCATTCTTATTTGCATAAGAATAAACAGGAAAAAATGGAACAGAATAACTCACTGCCATCAAGTTGATTTCAACTCATAGTGACCCAATAGAACACAGTAAAACTGCTCCAAAGGCTTCCAAGGCCTTTGTAAATCCTTACAGAAGCAGACTGCCGCATCTTTTTCCCAAGGATTGTTGGGTGAATTTGAACAACTGACTTTTTGGTTAGCAGCCCAACACTTAACCCGCTGTATCACCTGGGCTCCTTGGAACAGAATTAAAAAACTAACTGCCATTGAGTCAATTCCAACTCATAGGGACCCTGTATGGGGTTTCTGAGGCTGCAGATTTTACAGGAGCAGAAAGCCTCATCTTTCTTCCATGGAGTGGCTGGTGAGTTTGAACAGTTGACGTTGGGGTTAGCAGTCCAGTACTTATCCTGCAGCATCACCAGGGCTCATTTGGAACAGAATGTTGTTGGTAAGTGCTGTCAAGTTGGTTCCGACTCATAGCGACCCTCTATAGGGTTTCTGAGGAGCAGCTGGTGGATTTGAACGCCAACCTTGTGGTTCGCAGTCCTGCAACACCATATCAGAACTTCTTGGAACAAAATATTGTTGGTAAGTACCATGGAGTCAGTTCTGACTCATAGTGACCCTGCACAGGGTTTCTGAGGAACAAAATAGTGACCCAGAAATGCACCCGTGCATGTAGAAACATATGACAGAAATGACATAACAATTCGTGGGGAAAGGATAAACTAATCAATTATTCAACAGTATTTGAATCACTGATTTTATATATATATGTAGGAAAAAAATAGAACCAGATTGATCACCTACCAAAGGCTAAACAACAGTATATTCCAGCTTTATTAAATACTAAACGTGAGTGGGAAAACTAAGCTTTTAAGATTTAATTGACTATCCTTGTGACTCTGACAGTATAGTGGTTACGAGTTGGACTGCTAACCTCAAGATCAGCAGTTCGAAACTACCAATTTCAGAAATCCTATGCAGGAGATTTATTATGATTTGGCGCTGATTCCATGGTACATAACCAACCAACCAGCCAATCCTTGTGGCCATAAGATGCTGAAAGATTTCTTAAACACAACACACAAAGCATAAAGGAAATTAATGAATGCGATATTATTACAATGAAAAAAAAATTTTGTGTCCAAAGACATCATAAACAAAAGGTAAGTAACAGTCTAAAGTCATTTCCAACTCACAATACATACAAAGAAAATTTACAGTAATGTTCATTGCAACATTTAATATTTAAAAAATTGGATATAACCTGAAGTTGATCAACAGGTGAAAAATAGAATGCTATATGACACTGGGAGTCCTAGTGTGGCACTGTAGGATAATCACTAGACCGCAAGGTCAGTGGTTCAAACACACCAGCCGTTCGACAGAAATGCTTTTACAGGGTCGCTATGAATTGGAACTGACTTGACCTCACTTTACAACAACAAAATATGACATTGATATGGATCTGTAGGATAAACATTGAGCTGTCAACCTAAAGGTCAGTGGTTCAAACTCACCAGCCACAGCTTGGAAACCCTATACAGAATTGCTGAGGCAGAACTGACTCAAAAGCACTTATCAACAGTAATAGCATATGACATTGAAAATCAGTTCATCAGAGCATCCTGTATTAATGTGAGTACATCTCAGAATCATAATGTTGAATGAAAAAGGCTTATTGCTCAAAGGTACATAGATTATCATCATATACTTTATATGTTGTTGATGAATATATATACTTTACCGTAAAGACTTTTTAAACATCTTTGGGATTGATAAACTTTAAATTCAGTATGATAATTACTACTGAGGAGAGAAAGTGAATGACATCGCTGAGCCTTGCCCGGAAATTGCTTCTGTCTGTAACGTTTTGTTTCTTAAGCTCTGTGGTAGCTACATTGGTCTTCATTATGTTATTTACACTTATAGTATACCTGAAATATTTTACTGAAATTTAAAAATAAATTTAAATGACCTAAACATTTCAGAAAATAGAGATTGTTGTTGTTGTTAAGTGCTACCGAGTCTGTTGCAACTTATAATAACCCTGTATAGCGTTGCTGAGGAACTGTCCACCTTGTCATTAGCAGTCCAGTGTTTATCCTACAGCATTACACCAGGACCTATCAAAGAGATTAGGAAGATTGAAACAAGAAAAATAAAAATTAATGAGCTTAAAATAAAAATAGTAACATGATAAAGAAAACCAAGGCTCACACAAAAATGTACAGTCTCGGAAACCGTATACAGGCTCATTGTAAATTGGAACCAGTTCACTGCCACTTAACAACAAATATTGTGATTAAATTTTCCCATAAGAGAAAAATAAGCTGAATTTAAAAAGATCAATAAGATAAACAAGTTGCTAGCAAGCATGCAAGCCGCCCTCCCCCCCACTCCACCATCAAAAAAGACAGAAAAAATAGAAAGTATTCCGGTGAGTTTAAAAGGTAATACCACTACAGAAGGTTGTTTTTAATTTTATGAGAATTCTCCATAAAAGCTATTGATGATACAGGTAGGTGCTTTTCTTAGATTATATGAAATAACAAAATTGATTCCCCAAAGTGATAAAATTATTTTATAAGCTAAAGATTTTGAAAGATCATTCAAATCTACTTTGAAAATGAATACCCGATCTGTACTTTTATAAAAGACCTATGTTGTATCTTACCGTCAAGTAACTGATTTTACTTGAAGTGTTATTTTATTTAAATTGTTATTATACATAAAAAATATATAAAAAGCTTTCCAAATCATAGGTTACAGTAACTGTCACAACTTTTGCATACTAGGGCCTAAGATGCTTTTTTCCTAATATATACAGTTATCTTTGGTTTGGTTTCATTGTGGGGTTTTTTTAACTTGCCCATTGTGTTTATTATCTTTTCTATTTCTGTGTGATCAAATGATGTCCCAGTTCAAGTATCCATCACTGGGGATGAGTATGTCTCAGACAAAACACTGAAAGAAGAGCTCTGCAGTAAGCGGGCAGTGACTAAACCCATTCCTCCTGATGAGAAGGAGTCCTTACAGAAAGACAATGCAGGTAGTTAAACCGGATTGAATGTGTCTTTTCTTTTGGCCCACTCAAATGAGATTCTTCCTTTCAAGTATAAACAAATATATTTCCTGTTCTCTTTTTGTTGCCTTCAACCCTCCTCCACCTTGCTTATTTGTGAAATAGCTTAGATATTTTTACCTGCATTTTTTTGGTATACATTGACAGATAAAATTGACACTTTTTATCCTTGGAGGTCTGTGTGAATATAGTTGGGAAAACCATGTGGGAGCCATATCTGACACCCCCTGACTTCACAAGGGGGAAAGAGAATTAACACAAGGCCAATTCCTATGAAGCAGAGATCAGACACTCTACAACCTATTTACCCAATCCTAACACCAACCATACTGCCTACAGCACTCACTGCTTCACATCTGGGTTCCATAATCCGTTGCAATGGCCACACAGAACTCATGACATGGGTTTTATTAGGGAAATGAACAGGGTACAGTTCAGGATCAAAACCAATTCAGGATGCAGCAGCAGCGGTCCAGTCAGGAATGCCTCTTGTCTGCCATACAGCAGGCACACCTCACTCTTGTCTTTGGCCTCTCGGCCATGTGGTCCCTTGGCCTCTGCCCTCTGTCCATGGACCTAGAGCCTGCAGCTGCTCTGTCTTTCTGTGCTATGGCCTCTACCATCATCTCTGCCATTGTCGCTTTTCTAGGTGGGGATCTCATCCTCCATTCATGCTCTACCTTCTTGATGGTCCTAGAATCTTCTGCCTCTGCCTCTGCTTCTGAGATGGCTCCTTTTAAACCTAGCTGGAGGGCAAAACTAATGAATCCCAGCCGTACAGTCCTGCATTCCTTATTTGCATGGTCCCATCCAGTCACATGGTGGAAATTAAAACATTGGATAGAAAAGCCTTATCAAGTAAATTCAATGTACCACAATAATACACAAATTAATCTCACTGCCAAAAATTTTTGTACCTTTCCTGATAAAAGATTTCAATGCTAGGAATTGTTAAGTCTCTAATGTCACTATTGTGCATAAGCCTGTGTTCTTCAGGTAAATTCACCTTATTTCCTCACTGTTTATACAGCTATGCTAATTCACTGGGACTATACTGATTAAAAATGTATGACCTAACTTATATAGTAAGACAAGAACAGGAAAATGAATAGTGACAAAAGTTTCTTGGTAGTTTTCAGGGGTGGTAGGAAGAGGGAAAGGGGAGGACAGGTTAATGCTTATGAAGATACATAATAATGGAAACATCACATTGATTAGGGGTAATGTTGCACAACTGTTTAGTATAATTGCTATCAGTCAGTTGTATACCTATAAAAAGTTGAATCTGAAAAAGTTGCATTAAAGGTGTATTTAAAACAACAAAACGGTAGTGCTGAGGCTGTCTGTGTACCACTGAACACATTATGGGATTTGGCTCCTTGGTTTGGAGGTTTAGGACCATGATTTCATGGGTCATTTCAGTTAATTGGCCTAATAGTAGGTTTAGTCCTTCTATTCTATCTCCTAGTTTGTTACCTAGTGCCTAGGGTCTTGAAAGCTTTCAAGGGGCAACCAGGGCACAATTGGTCTTTATTTGTTGGGAGAAACAGAGGAAGGAGAGTCATTAGGAGGAAATAAAAGGTAGGGCTAATTGCTCTCATAAACAGTTTATTTCACCATGAGACCAGAAAAACTGGATGGTGCTCAGCCACCATTTCTAAACATTTTGATGGAATATTCTGTAGCAGAATCCTGATCAAAGGGAGAAAATACAGAATTAAATTTTAAAATTCTTGTGGACTGCAGCCTTTTCTGGATGTTTAAAGGCTTAAATGAACCCCTGATGATCTTTAAACCTTAAACCAAAATTTTTCCTGAAGTCTTAAGGCCAAACAGTAAATTAACTAGTGGAAAATACCTGCCTTGAGTATTATGCTCTTTTAGACCTATCTGTATGGGATCAAATTGACAACAGGAACTCAGGCATTTAGGATACTTAGGGGACAGTGAGTGTGTGTTAATGGGGAGGGACAACTCAGGAAAAGGGGGGTGAAAATGGTTGCACACATTGAAAACTGTAATCAGTGTCAATTTTGTCCATGTAGACATGGTTGAATTGGCATATGTTCTGCTGTATATATTCTCTACCAAAACAGCAACAAAAATAAATTAATTTTGGCTCTGAGAGATGAAAATAAATAATTAACTGGCTTACAGAAGACAGAAACTTATTTTCTTTCCCATAAAAATCCAGAGATAGGCACGATGCTTAAGAATATCAAGAACAAGGTCCTTTCTGTTGCTCTGACACGTTTGGCCAGCCACCATGCATGTCTTCCAACCAGCAGGAAAGAAGGGAAGGAGAAAAGTATATTTCTATCATTAAGAATAATTCTCAGAAGTTGCATGTACCATTCACCTTACTGCATGTTGGCCAGACTTTAGTCACATCCTCGCTCTAGCTAGGTTGCTAGGGGACCCTGGGAAATTCATTCTTTTAATAACTATGCCCAGCTAAAGTCAGATTTTATTGAAGAGGAAAATGGATAGTAGGGGCCAGCTAGTAGTATGTGCCACAACTGAAAATAAGAAACATACTTTAGAGCATAATTAGTCACTTCTCTTTTTATATTTACTGTTTCTTATTATATTGTAGTCTAGGTAACACTTCAAAAATCTTTTCTCCTTTTTGCTGTTGCTAAGTGAATGTTTCAGAAGTAGTTATATTATCATTTTAGATTCCTAGTCAATTGATTTCAGTAGTTATCATTGCCAGTAGAATAAAGTCTAAACTAGTGATCTTCCAAAACAGTAGAATCTGCTTTCAGATAACCTTTTGAACACTATTCCGTACCACTTTATCTTGTAATCAGACAAAACATAATGTTGGTCTATTTCTTAGATTCTCAGTTGCTTTTCCTAACTCAGCCTTTTTGTTATATAGTCACCTTTGCCTGAAATGCCTTTCTCTTCCCATTGCAGTGTATAGCCCATTTTAACTATCTTCTAACACCTAAATCAATCTCAGCTGAGTCTAGAATTCTTGCATGATTGTTCTATCTGAATGTAGATTCCCTTCATTTGAACGTCTAGATCTGTGTCTCTGTACGGTGTTATTCTTTACTTTGTATGGAGGGGCTTTTAAAAGTCCTGGAAATACTGCATTATCTTTTCATTCTATATTTCCACCAGCTTTTTGAAGCTGCCTGATATTGCATGTGTTTATGTTTTTGACCCTGATTTAGATCTTCAGTTTTCTAAAATTTCTGACTGATCTGTTTTTTTCTCTAACATCTATCTATAATGCCTTTCACACAACAAATGTTTAAACAGGAATTTTGTCAACTTTGTATCTGCACACTGTTTTAATTTTCCTCTGTAGGTTGCAGTGCTGAAAGCCTACCAGAAACTACAGCCTGGGCAGAAGAAAAAAAATCCTTGCAGATAGATACTGCAGGTAATGGGAATGCTATGTGTGTGTGTTTCCAGTTCATTCTGATGAGAATATGACCTCACAGTCTAAGCAAAGATTTCCCTTTTTAAAAAAAAAAAAAAATTCTCTTTATTATTATTATTATTTACGTTATTTTATTTTTTGGTACAGATTACTTCAGTGCTACTTTGTCTATGTTGTTTTTTATATTGATTTGTTAAATATTTTTTACTCCTGGAAAAAGATTTACATTATGGCAACAGGTTACTAATAAATATCTAAGACTGATAGTGATGCTCCAGGCCTCATAGTAAAAGCAGAGAAAACATGAAGCTTTAAAAACTTCAAGAAGACTGGCAAAGGCAGTGAGAACCTCAATACAAAACATTTTTAAAATTACAGTAAAAAATAGCCAAGATTAAATCTATTAATGTTTGCCCACGACCCCGTTTTTCTGACATCAAGAAAAATAAGTCTAAAACAAGCCATTACTACCTAGCTATCAAGCTTTCCCTGCTATTCATAAGGTTTTCAGTGACTAAATATTTAGAAGTAGTTCGTCACTCCTTCTTCCTAGTCTCTCTTTGTCTGGAAGCTCATCTAAAACCTGACCACCATGGGTGACCCTGCTGGTATTTAAAATACCGATGGCATAGCTTTCAGAATCACAGCAACTCACAAGCCACCACAGTATGACAAACTGACAGACGAGTTGTGGAGAATATTGAAAGTGCCATGGGCTGCTAAAAGAACCAATAGATCCGTTTTGGATGAAGTACAGTGAGAGTGCTCCTTGGAGGCCAAGATGCCCAAACTTTGTCTCTCATACTTCAGACATACTGTCAGGAGGGACCAGTCGCTGGAGAAGGATATCATGTTTGGTAAGGTGGCGGGTCACAGAAAAGAGGAAGACCCCCAACAAGATGGATTGGCCAAGTGGCAGCATCAGTGGACTCAAGCGTGACAATAGTAGTGAGGTTGGCCCAATAGTAGTGAGGTTGGCCCAGGATCGGGCAGTGTTTCGTTCTGCTGTGCATAAGGTTGCTATCACTCGGTACTGACTAGATGGCACCTAATAACAACAACAAATCAAGCTTTACCTCTGAGGGGAAGATAGGACAGTACCCAGATGAGGAAAGAAATGAGTCAAGGAGCTAATCTGCCCTTGTTGTTGGTTTAAGGGCTGTCGACTCGGTTCAACTCATAGCAACCCTGTATAGGTTTTCTGAGGACTTGCTCGTGGATTTGAACTACTGACCCTGTGGTAAGCAGCTCAAAGCTTATTTTGCAGCACCACACCAGGAGTCCTTGTTGTTGTTAAGTGCCATCGAGTCGATTCCGACCCTGTATAGGGTTTCCTTGGAGCAGCTGGTGAGCTTGAACCACCGACCTTGCAGTTCAAAAGGCTTTGCAGTCTGACACCTTAACTCACAGCACCACACCTTAGTATAGTGTAAAAGTTGTCCATCTGTAGCAGCTCACGTCAAGAAGGGCTAATATGAAAAACAGGACATTGGAATTCTGCAGTGACCAGGGAGAGAAACAGCACATCTCGCAAAAGAAAGAAGACAATACAGTCTGTGATAGCATACTCCAGAAGACAGAAGAAAGTTTTTCCGAAGTGTTTTACACTCTGAATGATTATGTTGGTGCTTTTGTTAGTGCCATGGTGTCGGTTCTGAGGACTGGCTGGTGGGTTTGATCCTGCAGTTAGCAGTCCATTGCTTATTCTACAATGTCACACTAAAGACATAATATTAGAATTGAGATAAGAATAAGATGAAAAGGGACATTTAAAGGGTAAGAGAACAAATTGAAGGGAATAAAAATTACCAATCCAAAGAAAGGAGCAGAAAGTAATTAGGAAAAATAATGGAATTTGAGGATTGGACATAAAATTCCAACAAAATTATGTGTGCTATCATCTCTAAAGAAGTTAACAGAAATTAAATATATATACATATATATAT